GTGTGCTGAACACCCTCACTTTGTGCACATTAGGTGAGATCCCTCCAATCACCCTCCCTCCTCTCCCCTCCCTCTCACTAGACTATACTTGTGTTTTTTCTTTCATGTGGACGTGGAGTTGTTTTCTATTCCTTTTTAAATCTAGGGTAAATCGCAAAATGCAAATTTGTCCCTGGACTTGCCAGCTGTGTGATCTGGAGTTCTCTTGGCTCCGGGGCTTCTGGTTTGTCCTGTCTTGTAAGCAGCTGGCTGGCTATTCTGGACTGAGCCACTTGGGGCTAGAGAAGAGAAGGTGGTGGGAGAAAGTGCCTGGGAATTAAGTCCATGTCCTCCCTGTCCCTGCCCCCACCCCCTACCCCTGCCCACTCTCTCAGGGGATTCTCCTCAAGTGCCACAGAATGTTCCCGTAAGGATGCGCCACAAAGACTGGGAAGTGTGAGGTTCCGTTGCTGCAGCGACCAGTCGTCCAGAGTCTCTGCCTTGGAACTGCCAAGGTTCTGGGAGAAGGTGGCCTCCCAGGCCGGGAGGGAGACTCTGGGCAGCAGCAGAGAAGAGCACAGTGTGGAGACTTGATTCCACTGTCAGCTCTGTTATGCCCACGCTTTCAGTGTTCACAGACGTGCCCCTAGCCCACAAGCTAGAAGGCAGCTTGTTAAAGGCCTACAGGCAAGATGGTCACCGTAACAAGACATTCCTGGCCTATAAAGGTAGTGGTTTTAGAGTGTAAGACTGAAGATAGGCTAACTGCCTTTGGGGGGACGGTAGCCCACTGTTTCGAGGTGACCGGGGCACCGCAGGCCTCTGCAGGTAGACAGATATTTTCTTGTTGAACAATAGCTCAGTGGGGAAAGAGCAGAGAATGTCCCACGTCATTCCCTGCCCTCTGCCTTTCTCTGGGGCTCTGGGGAACTGGTAAGAGCTTTGTCTTATTCTAAGATTCTGTGCTTGGGGGCCCACACGGGCAGCCCACACTTTCTTCAGCCTCTCCCCTTCTCTCTCTCTCTCTTGCTCTCTCTCTTCCTGTTCTTGAACCAAAATAGTTTCCCCAACTGACCTTTCTGATACGCGAGCAGGCCTCACTACTGTGCAGGGCAGCACCCTTAGCTTCCTTTATCTATAAACTCCCGTTTTGTCTATAATTTTTAACCTATAAAAATGGGCCTAGGTAGCCATCATCTTTTTCTAAAAGACAAAAATTATATGCATTCACTAATAGAACACTGGTTTTTTTGTTTGTTTGTTTTTGTTTCTGAGACAGAGTCTCTGTTGCCCTGGATAGAGTGCCTTGGCATCACAGGTCACAGCAACCTCAAACGCTTGGGCTCAAGTGATCCTTCTTGCCTCAGCCTCCTGAGTGTCTGGGACTACAGGCACCTGCCACGACACCTGGCTAGTTTTTCTATTTTTAGTAGAGACAGGGTCTTGCTCTTGCTCAGGCTGGTCTTGAACTCCTAAGCTCAAGTGATCCATCAACCTGGGCCTCCTAGAGTGCTAGAATTACAGGTATGAACCACTACGCCTGGCCCACATTGTTTTTATAAAGGAAAAAGGAAAGTTGCCTTTTCTTTTCTTTCTTTCTTTTTTTGGAGACAGAGTCTTACTTTGTTGTCGTTGTCGTTGGTAGAGTGCTGTGGCATCATAACTCACAGCAACCTCAAACTCTTGGGCTGAAGTGATTCTCTTTCTCAACCTCCCTAGTAGCTGGGACTACAGGCACCCACCACAAACAAAGCCTGGCTATTTTTAGAGAAGGGGTCTCACTTTGGCTCAGGCTGGCCTCGAACTTGTGAGCTCAGGCAATCCACCCACCTTGGCCTCCCAGAATGCTAGGGTTACAGGCATGAGCCACTGTGCTCGGCCGGAAAGTTGTCTTTTCTTTTTTTTTGAGACAGCCTCAAGCTGTCGCCCTGGGTATAGGGTGCTGTGGCATCACAGCTCATAGCAACCTCCAACTCCTGGGCTCAAGCAAGTCTCCTGCCTCAGCCTCTCAAGTAGCTGGGACCATAGGTGCCCACCACAACGCCTGGCTATTTTTTTTGGTTGCAGCCATCATTGTTGTTTGGTGGGCCCAGGCTGGATTCGAACCCACCATCTTAGGTGGATGTGGCTGGTGCCTTAGCCACTTGAGCCACAGGCGTTGAACCCATTTCTTTTTTGTTGTTGTTGAGACAGAGTCTCACTATGCCACCCTTGGCAGAGTGCTATGGCGTCACAGCTCACAGCAACCTCAAACTCTTGGGCTTACGTGATTCTTTTGCCTCAGCCCTCCAAGTAGCTGAGACTACAGGCACCTGCCACAAAGACCAGCTAATTTTTGTTGCAGTCGTCACTATTTAACTGACCCGGGCTGGGTTCAAACCCACCACCCTTGGTGTATGCAGCGGGTGTGTAACCACTGTGCTACGGGTGCTGAGCCATGGAAAGTTGTCTTTTCATAGGTAGCTTTCCAAAGCCCCAAGAAAATAAGGACACACTTACTGTCCATGGGCCATGTGCAGAGCCCAGAAGCCCCGATGCAGGTCCCCGAGGCCAGGTGTCTGGAGATCCTTCTGTGGTTTCCCTCACAGTCTGCATGACCAATGAAGGCCACCCCTGGGTTTCTCTGGTGGTGCACAAGACCCGACTGCAGATTTCAGGGGATCCCTCCTTGGATTATGAGTACCTGCCCACGGTGGGCATGAAATCGTTCATCGAGGCCTCTTTGGAACTCCTCTTTGGAAAGCACAGTGAAGCCATCAAGGAGAACAGGGTGAGAGGAAGGGCCCTCGCCTTTCACCCTGACACAGAGAGCAGAGATCCAAGTCTGCACAACCTTAAAACCTGAAAGAGACGTGGGAGGGTCCCCTGGCATTGACAGAAGGGTCCCCTGAGGCCCAGAGAGTCCACAGCTGTAGCCCTGGAAGGGAAGAACCAGGATCAGTTCTTGGTTCTAGTAATCAGTACCTGGTTCTAGTACTGCCTACAGGGCAGCTCACCCTGCTGACCCGAAGGCTCCTTCAGGAAAGGAACGCTGTGAATCCAAGGTCGTGTGAGGATGACCATTAGTCTTCTAAAGCATTATTTCCATATTTTGCTGACAGGTAGGGGGTGTGCACACTGTTGGTGACAGTGGCGCCTTCCAGCTTGGAGTTCAGTTTCTCAGAACTTGGTGCAAGCATGCTAATGTGGCCTATGTCATCTCTTCTCAGAAAGGTGAGTGTCACATACGACGAGGGCAGCAGAAGACCCCGGCCCCATTCCTGATTTCCATGCCATGACCCTTCTTCCTTGCTGTTCCTCATTCTTTGTCACGAGAAGAACGGCAGACAAGCCAAGCTCTGTGTGTGCTTTTCCTGTCCTTGTCCCTCCCGTGGCCAGTGGCTCTCAGCCCCCTCCAGTAGCTCTGCCTCCATCTCTCCTCTCTCCCGTGTAGTAGCTGGTGGGGGTCTGTGCTCCCACAGAGCCGCACGGACTCGTCTTCCAGGACCTGGGCTTTAAGGTTTACGAATACTCCATCTGGGACCCCGAGAAGCTGTTCATGGACCCCAATGTGTTCCTCAATGTGGTGGAGGTAGAGGGGCCCTGCTCAGTCTTCTCCCCAGACCTGACTTACTCGCCTTTCCTCCCCTGGACCTCTTTAGTCACCCGAGACCTTTTACCAAGTCCATTAGTAGAAACCAGCATGGAGAAGCTCTTCTCCCCCAGGTCCCCTGGCTCCCCCACCACTTGGTAGGGGAGGTCCCTGATGAGACAGACAGTCTCTACCTACAGCAGATCCCACGCGGCTGCGTCCTTGTGATCGGGAACATTATGGACTGCAAGTTTTCACACCATCAGTGGGAAAAGTGCATGGCCCTCCTGAAGGTGTGCCCGGCCTCCTGTCTGCCTTCCTGCCTCTGGGTCAGCTCTCTGCTCCATCCAGCTCACGCCTTTTTTTAATTCTTCTTTCTTCTCCAGAGCAAGCAGATATTCCCGTTTTTTGACATTCCCTGTCAAGGTTTACACACCGGTGACTTGGAAGAAGACACTAGAATCCTACAATACTTTGTCGCTCGAGGTTTCGAGTTCTTTTGCAGCCAGTCTCTGTCCAAGAATTTTGGCATTTATGGTATGGTATGGGAGAAGGGAAGTGGTGCCATGCCTGGGGCGCAAAGGGTGCTTTGGACGCCTCTTATCCTCTGCAGGGCGCTGAGGGCTCCAGAGAGGGCATGGCAGAGGCAAAAAGGAAGCACTAGAATTGGGCTAGAATTGGGTTCTGTAACTAGGACTGGCTACCAAACTCAACTCTGGTTAGGTCATTTCCCACCCCTCTCAGTCCTCTGTTTGCCAAGTATAAAATGAGAGGAAGCTGGACACGGTGGGATGCACCTGTAGTCCAGAGGCTCAGGCAGGAGGATCTCATGAGTTCAAGGTCAGCCTGGGCAACACTGAACACC